TGACAAAGCAGACCTGTAATAGCGTGGCCGAATGACTGAAGTTATTACGAAATGAGTTCAGTGTGCGACGGCATCTCTAATATCGGGCCCAGAAGCCTGCTGAGAATGTCAAAACGACATAAGCACACGTCATTCAAAGCTTGTCATCTTTTGTCGAAACGACATTAATTTGGCTAGAATACTGCATTTCGAGTTTTCTATGCAACATGAAACGAAAGATTTTTCAGCGTATGCACATCCTGTTCAGCAAAAAGGGAAGAAAATAGGAATACAGGGCAACATTATCGGACTCTGAATCAGAAATGCAAATATTTTGGAAAGCTGACCGTAGTCTGTGACTCGATCTGAGGTACGGTTGTCTGTCAGTGGTCGAGTGTACTCTGAGGTGGTTAGATCTGTTCTTTTATACGGCTCAGAAACATGGCCACCAAGGATGGAAGATAAGTGAATACTTTCGGTGTTCGAACATCGATCTTTCGGCACCATTACCCGAATATGGTTGGAACACTCAGCAATGCTGAGACTAGGTGTAAGGTGTTAGGAACCAGAGGTCAGTCACTGGATCACGTACTGAATCTAAACAAGTTAAAATGGTTGGGTTATGTGGTACAAGTGCCCACTAATAGACTTCCAAGTCAAACGCTGTTCTCCGAGGCAGGTAGTGATTGGAAGGTAGGTCGATGTGGTCATTCCATGGAATGGCAAAAGGTATGAAGACCTTGGTCAGTGGAATTGGCCAAGTAGGACATGATAGAATTCCAGATTGTGGTCTACGCGACCCATTTACCAAGTGCTTGGAGACATTAAGTGAAATGGCTAGGTTTTTCGGCCAGAGGCCTAGTTGCATTTGAACTCATTCTTTGTCTTTGTGATTTTCGCCTAGTACTTTGACGTATGGATCTTTTTCACTTTATGCTTCTATTCATTTTGCACTTGACTCGACAATGCCGGGAGCTAATAACCGAAACCAGAACACAGAAGTGCGAGGTTCGTCGTTGAATAAAGTGAAACTGAAACTGATCTGAGGTATGACGATAAAACTATGTAAGATATGAAACCTACTTGTCAGGTACTCGATTTCTCAGCAAACAGTTACATAGTACATTTCTATCGACAGAGTCGAAGGCCGTAGAATTGTCTAGGAACACAGTGACTGTTGGTCTCTGGAAAGTATGCTGATGCTCGAGCAGTTGTTAGATGGTAAAGACTTGATGGATGTGTCTGCTCTTCATTCGTATGGTACAACCCGCGAAATATGACAGATGCCAGCTGCCTCGGCGCAACCGAGATCAAGCTTCTACTGTGTGTGAAGATAGAGACAACAATCGAGTTCTCCCACAACGAGGATACCTGCCTAAAACTTCAAACCTTGGGGAAAAGAATGTTCATTTATCTAGCAGTTTTTCTTTCGTCATCTCAAGATAGGACTGCATGATGGTAGTCGAAGCCTGGAGCTTTATGAGGCCAAAAGGTTCTGTTTTTGTGACGCGATTTGCGCGGAGGCAATACTTTTGTTCAATTAATTTGACTATCCCTTGTTGCCAATGTATTATGATTATTGAAATGGTTTTACTATTAGCCCTTTGATATTGCTCTCAGCATTCAAGAAAAGTGGAAGTCACGATAAGTGTTTTTCTTCAATAGCTAAATCGACGCAGTACAGCCTTGAAATGTCATATTTATGAGACGTTAGAGTTAATTTACCATTTTTTCCATTCTGTTATGTGAGAATGCCCATTCTACCTGCAGACTAAAAGAAAACAATCTCCAAAATGTGACACTTGTTAATGAGATTTGTGGCTTGACAATCGCTGGGAGATCAAGCGGTTAGCTTTGTGTGTACGTGTGTGTGTGTGTGTGTGTGTGTGTGTGTGTTGTGTGACTGTTCAAGCCAGCCGCACAGTTCAATCGCGCATGACAGCAGAGTTTACGGTGTTTCCGCTTGATCTGAGTGGTGTGACATAATTGATGCAATCGGGGTCATATAACCTGGCCTGCACGTCTTCCCACAGTCCATCGCACAGATATGCAACCACGATCTGAAGTTAGTTGGTTGTGTGTGAATAAGTGTGTGCGAATTAGTGTGTGTGTGTGTGTGTGTGTGTGTGTGTGTGTGTGTGAAAAACACCAGGTATTTGATATCTTCCTCGGTCACTTCGGTTCAGCAATGCTTTCCGCCGGCCGATTCCATTCATTTTCGTGTGGTTAGTGATTTGTGTGTATCTCAGCGTGTTTCTTTGTATAGATGTGTGTATGTGCAAGACAGAGAGTATTTGGGGTGATCTTTCGTGAGACTTGAAAGTCACGACGTTTCGACCTCCATTATATTCAACAGGGCAGATCCAGGATGTAACTTCTTCAGAGGCGCTATTCAAAGTGGCTTTTATACATTAACACACACACACACACGCACGGACACACCTACCCCTTCTCCCTCCGTACACATGGAAACAAATGCCAAACGGAGGTGCACTGCTTATATTCACAGCCCCAGATCAGCCGACAGAATCGTTCCAAATCACTGTACAGTTTTCTGTAGAAAAGTATCCATTCACGGGAATGTGAAGTCATTGTTGAACACTGTTCAAAAGGAATACTACAATTACAGGCAAAGCTAACTGCGATTCCAGATTTTCTAAATTGTGAAATTTCTATAGCCATTACGTATAAAGTAGTACCAACAGCCACAAGCAGTTCATCGTGCTAATATCGGCGGTCGGTCGGTTTAGAGCGTTTGATTGCCACCTCGAAGCTAAGCTGTTCGAATCCCCGCCATCGTCGGTTATTTTGTTGGCGGACAGCAATCCATGACCCATTGGGACCTTATGTGGATCATCATCTCCAAGTCCCAGGATCTGGTTGCCAGTTTTCCCTAATTGTACAGTAGGCCTTTTGTGGCTGTGGCGCATACACCCTTCCATTGTACTCATGTGCACACATGCCATAAAAAGGATTAGGCAATTAGGTGTAGGCACTCGACAACGCTGAGTATAAGTATGCCGTAGCACAGTCACAGTTACACATCAATAGCAAAGTCACTGTCACGTGATCCGTTGGAACACTTTGACCTACGGGGGTGAGCCCAGTAATTTATGAGGATATGGATAAATGCATATATGTCCAGTGCTAGACCAACGGCGTAAAACGGATATCAGGCACGCCATGTCAGTAGCCATGGTAGCTTTGTCTTTATTTTGGTCGGTGATTCACTAAGTAGTACTAATACCCAACTTAGTATTGAAAATCATACAGGTACTGTACTCTTCCTTATCTTCATTGGCTTAGAACCGAACTTAGAATGAATGATAATGGGTTATACCGTTTGATACGAATACCATACACGGTGTCGATTAGGTATTTATCTGTGCACAGTCGTTTTATATTACTTGAACTGCTACTGCGACTGACTTCACTCCTTCTCCACTTGTAAGCCGTGACACAGTAATACAGAGGGATCTTTCCATTTTGCTGTTTCTAAGAGAGTGGATACCAAGTGAAGTTGTTTTACCACGTGGAATGATAACTGCTTAGATGAATCCAGTCGTTCATGGACACAAGTAGATCGTAACCGATTTCGATTTCCTCATCATTTTGGTAAATTATCTTCACTTTTCATTGGGAAGGGCAATAATCTGAAAAGAATAAAGTGCAATTTACCGAAAAGTTCACAGTAGATAGGAAAGGCCGCTTGTCTCACCCGTGCAAGTCATCCTTTCTTGGTGATCCATTCAGATATAGTTCGGCCAATCAGTGAACAGATGAGCTGTGAGGGTGCTGGTTTTCGGACATCAAGGCATGCGTGTTTGTGAGGGTATTGGATTGAACGGTGACTCCAAGCACCGGAAACTCAAAGCACCTACAATGAGTAACGTCTTACCCGAAACTAGGACAATCATGAGCAGCGGTCTGACTGAGAAGATCGACTATTCAGTTTAAGCTCGTCGTACTGCAGTGGTGTTCGCTGTAGGGATAAGAAGAGCTGGTTATGGAGTTTTTTGGGCTCATAGAATTCCGATCGTTGAGCTTTATGTTTGGATCGCATACGTTTCTCCACTATCGACTGAACTAAGAACACAAACACACAGACCAACACACGAACACACTGTGACTAACACCTAATTGCTCTAAGCTATTATTCCAGTTTCATTCGGTTGTAAAACCAGTCTTGAAAAAGGTTACCCGTGGTGACCGAAACGTCGACAACCTACCAACGATCTCGACTACGCTGTGTTATTGAGCAATAAAATTCTACCATAAGAACAACAGTGTTATTCAGAACCACTGGGAATAGAATAGAAATCAGTCAACAGCAAACAAAACAGATTCTAGGGACGAGCAAGCTGATCTCAACACAAAGACAGACAAGCAAAAATTTTACCCCACTGAAAAGCTTCAGATCAATCAAATGAATTAAGAAGACTAAGCACACCGGTAAGGAGCACTGACTGAAACAGAATCGAAATACGCAAATGACTGGAGGTTGCATGTTACTGAAGTCCGGTCTTGAAAACATTTGCCTTTTAAAACTGTCCAACTCAGTCACTACAGCTGCGGGTTTCCACCTTTGTATTATCACTACTGTACTAAAGCAAGAACAGTTACAGTCAAAAAGGATGTTGGATACGGTTACGGAATGAATACGTTGACAACTTGACCTCAGTTGGAGATCTGATGTCTTCGATCCAATGGACCCGTTTGGTGAGCAAATCAGCAACAAATTGGAAAATGTATAAGACCAACAAACAAATAATCAGCGTTAAACCAGTTGTCCATTGAACATGAAGTGGACTTATCGCAAGCATCTTCATTAAATTGCAGAACTCACTCGAAGTTCTATAATTTTGCACTAATATTCAAGCGAGTTCGGGGTCAAAGACATGTTGTTACTGAGACCGGTGGAACGATCCTTCGTACAGATAATTACTAAAATTTGAAAAGGTAGCGGTATTATCGTTCCCTTCGATCACAACCCGTCAGTCGGTTCTACACAAAGAACTTACCGTATCAATTTTCTGTAGCATGTCACGGAATGTAATCCATTCAAAGAGTAGGCACTTTCTATCGTGAACCATAACGCAAAGATTGGCATATCTGATTATTCCCCGACATTGAATCGAGTGTGACATGGCGATAAGAGCGGAACAGGGATATTAAATAAAAAAGTAGAAGGGGGAACACTGAATACAAGGAGTCTATCATTGTGGAACGACAAGCCTTTGTACGCAAGATTCTAACCTAATCGAACACTCAACCATCATCAATAATATGTGAATCAGCTACCTTTCATAAATGACTTTTCAAGGGTAACAACCCGTTGACCACGTAGTGATTGACTACTATAATGAACAAATTCTCTTTTTATCATATTGGTTAAAACAGGCTCTCGATTGGCTTCCCGAATTGGTTTGTCTCAATAACTGATCCACTGCTGACCTAAGCATCGATGAATCGCATGCGCGTTTTATTCAATAAACTCTAGTAATATACATTCGTTAGTGCATATCTTCTGACAATAATTGATCATATTTGAAAATGACGATGATCCTAACAAAAACCAAAATGTTCGGTTTCACCAAGCTACTAACGATTTGACTTGAACTGATTTTCCATTCGGTAGAAGAAGTGGATGGTACTAGACCAGTGAACCACAAATAAACGAAAGCCTCAAGTTCACTGATAAATGACCTAATGCTGTATTAAAACACGTGTTCAAATACGAGTTTATCTATGTGAAACAGAAAAGAGAATAATCACTTATTACAACATTGAACAGGCTTTCAAGGGTAAAAAATAAAACAGTTTGAAGACGGACCCTGATCAGTGACAGTTTCCGGAGTTATTTACTGTACGATTACAGCAATTCGGAAGATATGAAGCGAATGTATTGTAATATGAGGAAAATTAAGATTATCATTATGAGACATTCATATACCAGACACTACCTGGAAGCACGTGAAAAAGAGAAATGAGAAGAACTTGTCAATTCTTATTTTCTGAAAGACTATTTTTCATCGAAGGATTTGCTGATACTACTGAACTACTTAATATGCGTGAGTTGTACCTACCTTGAGCTACCCATTGGCCAACCAACATACGTACTCTAAAATGTGCATTTACGCTGATTTAAAACACGTCGTGAAACTAGCATCTGATCGGAGTGAATTTGTCATTCGAAATGAGCAAAATACACCTCCGTTTCTAACGGAACAACATTTTGGAGCAGGCTGATTGGACTAATAAGTCTGCATATTTTGTCTTTCAACACTCCTCCCATCTGGAAACAAAAACAAATAAGCTTTCGTTTCTAGATTCGTAATTAATTAAATCCCGAATGTATTTACCCAGTAGGTTCGGAGACCATGTGCTGGATTGGACCAATTCAAATGTGCCTCAATAAGTGTGTAAATACAATCAAATGTTTTCCCCTGGGGATGTATAAAACGTATAGATTTCTGATCAAGGTCAGAACCGCAGCCCCCAAAAATAATGTATAAACCAATTTTTTGTAAGGTTTTATCCATAAAAGTCTTTAATGAAGCTCGTGAAACTGTGTTCGTTCAGAGCACATTTAGGGAGACTTTAGAAACCTTTAAAGAATAGAAGGGTGTCATGGATAATAGGGGTACACGTGGGAAACAAACGTTCGCAAATCAAAATTATTCTTTTTGAGACTTTTCTGAAATGATGCATCGTGTAACAACAATGTTCAACTCAACATCGGGCTAGTTGGGAATCTCTATCAGCTGCTTGGCTTATCCAGAGCGTCCTATCTGTGCCGTCACACTGAGACATATCATTAGCACTAGGCTATCCGGGCCGGTTCTTAAGTAGCCAAGTTGTGCGGCTTCTTTGGGAATCCTTTCAACTCACTTAAACCCGTTTTGCAAAACGCATCCATCCAATCAGCCGGTCAGCATGTAAGCGAAGAGTTATTCACGTTTAAAACCAGTAACGGAGCGGTATTAGGTTGCGCAATATTTGAGTGCACATAATCACTGACAGCCAGCCCGGATAGCCTAATGGTAATTTGTGGTACTGACGACCCCGGTTCAAATCCTACTGGGAACTCGTCGGGTATGTGCTACTGATGATTAAGACTAGGAGAAGCATAAAATGCTATTTGGTCAAGTTAGGCCGAGTATTTGCTTTATGCACCCTGATGGGCGATGAATATTCAGAAGTACATAGCTATACTCGAAGCAATTACCCAAAAAGGCAGCATCTGTAATGAAAGCACAACTATAAGAGATGATTTAGGAAGAAAAATAGGAACTAAGACACTGAGGGTAGTTTGAGTTCAGCTTCAATCTTTGCAGAGTACCGTGAGAAGCGAGATATGTCGGGGACAAAAAGAGGACAGGTTGGCAGTCGTATGTAAATGAATCATTCCATTTTTGTTACAGGTGAAAGAAGAGGAATCACACATGCTGAGGTCCCTGTGAAGCGTGTGGTGTAAGTCACTCAAAATTCTCTCGGAGAATCTAACGAACATTTTTCGGTGATGAAATGTGACAAAGCATGTTTGATTCCTATAAGGTATCCACCTTACATATGATAAGTGCTTGAAATAACTATCAAGTGGAGTGAGGTCTTTGGCTTGTACTCCAGGGGAGAAGGTAAAACATGATTACAACAAGGGAGGTAATATGCAGGCAAGGACAAAATGTTGGATGAGGTAAAGAGACACGGACACTACTTTCACACGAAGAACGTCTCCTTGATGAACATAGGTAGAATGTTCGGAATTACAAAGATTGTAGGTGATCGTAACCCAAGGCAGTTGACAAATGATTGAAAACCAGTGGGTATGTTTCTAAGGTGAATACCTAGACAAAATTCGAAGAAGGTCCCATATTTAGAGCATTCGAGAAAAGATGAATCAACCTATAAGCATTTATGGGGATCTGAATTAAGGCCATGAAGTTTGCACAAGTGGTCAAGATCCAAGACAACAGACTGGAGTTTTTGTGCATCAGTATGGGTTGACCCAACCGCAACATCATCTACATACTATATAATAAAAGGATAGTCACTGACAGGTATTGGGGATGTGTGGGCCGAAAAAAGAATAGGCGCCCTGTAGGACGCCTTTGCTTGAGATGGAACAAGTTCTGCCTCCACAGAGTGTAAACGGTTGCCAGTTAGGAAGGTAATCAGATAATAGTCTAATAAATAGGGGTTGAATTCTGTTATTTGAGGGGATGTCGAGACATTTTCGTCTATCTAAGCTGTTAAGTGCGTCAACATAATCTGAAAATCAAGTGCGTACAGCTTTTGATTTCTTGTCCAGTGAACATAGGACTGTATGAATCAAAGAAACAATCGCACCCAAGGTAGAGCAGGAGAGACAGTAGGCGAACATGTTTGAGTCTCTTGTTGTCAAAACCACATAGTGGCGTGATCCGACCTGGTCCCGTGGTTTTCAGTGGTGGGGTGAGCGTTGACCTTTTGTGATAAATTAACCCAAACCGTAGATCTCTAAAAACGTGCTTTTAATCTACCGACTATTTGTTATTGCAAGCTGAGTTGATCATCTTGGTAAAATACCTCGAAGTTATCCCGTAATAGTTGTAACAAAAGTGTTTAGGCCTCGTCAAAGACATTACTAAATTACAAATCGCACATCAAAGAGGCTGAACACTTTGGATATCCTCAGGGCGGCGGTGGCCAAACGGTTATCACAGTGGGCATCGAATCCTTCAGTCCCGGGTTTTGAATCACCGCCCCTCTGTCGGTCAGTCTCCAATTGGCAGCCTCAAACTGGCCGCAACCTCCTTCCTGAAATGTTTTACCATTTTAATACAGTGCAAAGGAAAGCAAATGAAAGAGGAAAGGAAGGAAAAATGCCCCTGTGGAGAACTATCAGAGACGTACCGCTGTTTCAGACTGTACACTTTCTGTTCGATCCTACCCATGCCTGCAACTTGCCCACGAATCAGTTTCCGGCCCAGTTCACAGACTGATTCTACAGATCTTCGATATGATTCGACAGCCTCGATCATTTGAGTCTGTTGATCCAAAAAGGTTTGCAACTGCCCGGTGGATGCATGTTGCTGAGTCATTTCAGTTGGGGAAAGTGTGGGATGCATGATTAAATTTAGGGGAATTTGAATGAGAAACATGCAAATGTTAGACACCTGTATAAGGTTTGTCTGTATTTCTCATAGAGTAAATATGATCGTTTTCATTACAATTAGAAGTACCAGAGCAAATTGACACATTCCTGTCGATCGTGTAAATTTTCAAACAGATTAGCGTTACAAAAAATTAAAGGTAATCCCCACGAAGTTGCTACAAAGTCTTATCACACTGCTTTAGTCCTATGGATTCAAAGTCATTTATGCTTAGACCTATGACCCTATTCTGCCCTCTGTTAATTCGCCTCTACTATTTTTATTCCTTTTAAATCATCAGAAAGCTTGAGGGCCTAACAGATGTACCATTTCTCAGTCCCTGATCCCATTGCGTAAGCATCTCTTCTTCATATGTTTCAAACAGTTGTCTCCCCGTCTCAGTTACTAGCAAGAGTCATCCATCATTTTTCTCGGAATGAACTCAGCGTACTCAGTGATCAGATCCCTCGCTAAATCCGCGAATCCGGCACTCTCCGAGGTACTATTCTCGTGCTTCACACTGCCTTATACTAATTTTCTAATCAGGTCAATAATTTACCTGATACCATTTCAAATAATCTGCATTCATCTCTAACTTTCCTGGTAAAACCCACAGGCCGAACAAAGTTTGGTTTCGTAGCCTCTGCCCGTCCCTGCAAAACCTTTACTAACCACCCAGAAGATTGGATTCTGCTTTTTACCAACTGTGATGTAATCCTTGCCTTTGACTCGGTTGTCCGGATCAAGTGGAGTACGCCAGTATCCACCCTACTTCTATGTCCGTGTTTATGCTCTAACACCGTCACCTTACTCTCACTGCGTTTTCCATTTACTGACCACTTGGCTTCCACATAAACTCAGGTAACGTGGTTATTTACACACTTATATCCAAAAACGTTTACTGAATAAGAATTAGAAATAAGCGTCTTCATAAGAGATGATATCAAAATTATGAGTGAGTTATCATAAGTTACGCTAAGCTGCATACGTCATTTCTTGCTGATTCCCGGGACACATGAATGACACATGACTGAATAAGTGCCTTCCAGATATACTGGTTTGGGAATTTAAAAGTGTACCGCAACATACTAACCACTATCCAACAAGCCAAATGCAAAATATTCAAAAACTACCGTAAAATTCACTACTTCCTAAATTGAAGTAATTTATCGATTTCATCTTATGTATCATGTTTTTGAACCGAATGCTGATGATATTCAGAGACCAATACCACGAACCCGCTAATCGGGTAATTGACTTGTACTTGCTAGCCTTAAGCACCCAACATAATGCACCGTCACTTGCCTTGGTCGGATGGGACATCCTGATCTTCTATCCCAAGTTATAGTTCCACCGATCCACCAGATCGACTTCCATTCAGGAGCGCGACATAAAGCACGACTTAGATATGTGTCTTTTTCGACCAGAAAGGGAATGGGCAGATAGGTGGTAACTATCGGCTAGTCATCGACTAGGGAGACTTAAGGCGAGCCGATCAATGGAACGCCCCCTACGAATGCGACAACCAACCACTGCGTTCAGTTATCAAATTAGAATGCAAGTTCTCTAATTCCACGTCATAATTTCTCAGATCAGTATGATACTTTATTAATTCAATCTTAAAAAGGTGCAGGCCAATGAGCACCAACATCTGCCTGATCGCATCAATCTGTTTGCAGTTTCTCAACTCTCAGTGAAGTAGTCTCAACAAATGGGAATGTTTGTTTAGTAGAAGAGAACTACTAGTTCATCGGCGGTACTTTTCCCAAGCGTCACAGCCAAAACGCTTTCCATAATCCACAAATGCACTCTCATTGACATCTGCATTTATCACCCGAGAATTCAGCTTATCCGTAATGGGTCGTGACGAGACAGAGAGATTTCGTGGACAGGTGACGAGTTTCACCTGCCAAGTCAATCACGTGTCTGTGTTTGGAGAGCAGTGGGATTGGTGACTACACACTTTAGCTGACGTAGAATTCACTTGATTTTAAAATTTTGTTGTCTGAACCCCACAATATACTCACGTTATAAAGTTTCATAACTACTATTCAGACCCGGTTAATTCACCTGATCCCTGCCAAATTCACAAAAACTGGTGTACATGTTTATTCATTACGATGAATCACATGATAAACCAGGACAGTTTTCTGTCAGTTCCGTATACACGCAAACCTATCTTCAAAAACATTGTCATCCCGTCTATTCACTGTGTTGGTGGGCTAATCAAAGTACCCTAACCACTTGCACGTGACTCATTCCTTTCCCGTTTGCATTACACTTGCATATTCGATAACTGTTCATACCAAACTTCGCACTGCCATGCTCCACCAATAATATGCGGCCCACCCCGTGTGAGACTGATGTTAATTTACCGCCTGTGTTCGTGTATACTATAGGCTTATCGTAAGTGCACTTTCATACGCACTCACGTGGTTTCGTTCCGCTTACCGGCTTCCGGATACAACAAAGTGGTTCACTCTTTTACGGATCATTGATTACCTTCTAGCTTAACCAATGTCATTATCCATGTGCTTTTCACCTTTATTTCTGATCGTCTCAGGTTTTGATTGTCACTCCATCAGGATTCCTGTTCGCCGACTCTGTGTGCTATCCGCTTGTATGTGATACCACTGGCCTAACTCCATCCACATAAATTTATCCGCATGTTTTACTCTGTTGTTCTGCTCGATGTCAAACGTTAACTGTAACTAATCCCCATTTTCCTTGCGTCATCAACCCCTCCGTTTACCCCCGGGAATTTACTGTTGACTAGCTATCGTGTGTTTGTCATCCCTGTTGAACGAGCGTTGAAAACTCTCTTCCTTATCCTTACACTATGTCTGGTTGGCCCACATTTTGAGTTACATTGTGCTGGTATTTGAGTGAACTTGTTTTCTCTGATCTAAGATTTGAGATTTGTTACTCCGCTGGACAACAACGGGGTTGCTATTATCTACATATGATTAACTCCACCAGTTACATCATTGTCATCATCGTTACCACATTTCAGTGGTCTTCCCCGGTTCGGTAGTCAACAACCTTTAACTGCCATTTAAATTTGTTTTCCCATCTCACTCTGCTGCTTCCCTGTAAATCTTTATGATCCTCTGGATACATATTATAATAAAACTGACTTTGAATTTTATTTCTCACAATTTAGCTTCTTGACTTCACGAACTCGTGAACTTCACAGCATAGTCATAATTTTACCGGACCTCGGGAGTTTCCGCAGAAGATTCTCGTAAACCCCCCTCATTCTACCTTCGTCGGTTTCTTCTCCCATCGTTTTCTCTATTTTGAAGGATTAAATTGGAACTCATCCTTTCCTAGAGAGTAAACTGACCCTGAAATTCTCTCTTCCCTTACTTCTTTCGTTTGCACATATTAAATGAAACAAAACCACATTCCGTGTGACCGATATTAATCATGACCAAAATGTACATTCCTGTATAAAGAGGAAATTACGATAAGATACAGTACAATGCAGAACAAATATAAGACAAGGAAGATACAGTTGAAACCCTATCGGGCTAGTGCTAATTCGCGGACAAGTTAGGCCAAAAAGCTCACAGTTAGGCGAAGACTTACGAGCAGGTCTTTGTCGATCAAACGTCCTTCTTGTCGGCCCATCATAGCATCGAGTTGTTTGGCCTCATGAAACAATTTCTACCATCGGGAAAATAACATAGCTTTTGATGAAGAGGCAGCATTCTGTCTCACCAAGGTATACAAATAACTAGCATATTACTAATAATAATAACACTGACCCCCTAAATTCTGTGATCTATAATACAACGATGGTATAATGTTAATGAAGTGACTCATCAGGCTGTGTTGCCGCTCTTCTCATCAGTTAATATCGTGGAAGCCCTGAACCTGGTAGCTCGTCTGTCGTGTTAGGAACTTCTAATAGCTGAAATGCACGTCCACGAAATCCCACATGGAAATCTAACCACAAGTACATCATTCGTAGTCACAAAGACGTTACACGTCAGACTATCAGGAGGGACCTTGATGAACTAGAGGTTTTACAAAACTACTTGTGGGAATTCAATAGTGGATCAATTTCAGTAGTATGAGATTCAACTGTTTACGAGGTTATTCGTCATGCAGTATCAACACAACCATTCTGGATTGTACGTTGGTAGTGTTCGTGATTCACAATCGTTTACTCTACGGTTGAGTTCTAGGGGGATCTCTGTGGATGTGCACTGTTTATAATTCCTAACAATAATGGGACAGTCCTGGAATGGTTGCATAGTCTTTGAAGGGCGAGTTTAGCGTTGGTAACTTAAGGTTAACTCATTAGCAGAAGAAATTTCTGGAAGAATTGCACTTACAGATCACTTCATTCATAGCCCCTCATGTGCCCAGAAGTCGCTGTCAAATCCAATAACATTGTATCATTTTGTTTACATTCTTTTGTTAGGCAATATTGGTGCAACATTTCAGGAAGGGGAGGGTTCGAGGCCAATTAGAGGCTGCCAACTGGATAGTGACAGACGACAGAAGTAAGACTCGAACCTGCCATCGAAGGACTGAGTGCCCACCATGATGACCACCTGACCACGGCCGGTCATCAGACCAAAAACAACCCAAATTTAATCTACTGTTAGAATCCGTAGGCCATCTAATGTTTTGATCATTTAATACCTATTGCATTTCCTTTGAATACTTGTACTGCTAACTTGCCGTCTCACATCGATTCCTAAAGAAATTCAAGATTTATTTCTTATTATTCTCCTCTGGGACACAGATAAGTTATATCGTTTTCTATTGTTAGCCTAAGTCTACTTTTAGAAAAAATAGTGTACACATCTTAGGACGAACTTTTGCAAAGTTTTTTGGGTATGTCATGCCTGCCTCGATGCAAAAACTCTGTGTGGTGATTGTAACCGTAAACGAACCAAGAGATCAAAAGTTTTCACTCTCGTAGATTTTTATATTCCGATAAACACACCTTAAAAAGGCGGATGGACAAGTTCAGTGGAGCATATACCGGAATAAAGTCATCGTATTTGGTGCAACGCAATGATAGACTTCAAGAGGAAATTTGCTAATTGGGGCAAACTTTACTTTGTAGACCGTTTGATAACTAATATATTTATGACAACTTAACTCATATGGAAAATTTTCAATGGTTAATTAGGATATAAGTTTACTGTGGATGGTTACCGTGGATTAGATGCGTAAACAGTGTGATCTTTTATCAATGCAACCTGGTAGCACATCCGGTAGAGCACAGGCCGTATTAGGACGTGATTAACTTGACTGTCTGGATTCAACTCCCAACGCGGAGGGACGATTAGCATCATGCCGTAATTCAGGATCATACTTCACGGTTACTTTCTGACACAACAAATTCGCGGTAGTTAAGTACTCGTTGTAAACCCGGAACCAGTTAGGGATATTTACTGGTAATAAGGTGCGAATACATTACGGTTACAAGGTTGTCATCTGCTAAGTATTTGGGAGATGAAACAAATCGTGTTATGGTTTTGAAAGTTCAGCACACGGTAGAGGATGAATGCGGTGTGGGTTAGACTACTTATGCCTGAGTTCGACCATTTGGGATTACGTCACTGACTCGCGTGATGGGCTATAGCCCGTTTGTGGGAGCACATCATGAACAACTTTCAGGTACTTATTTGTGCAAATGGATAAACTAGGGGCAATTACTGCAAACATGTTTTTTCACCGCTTTTTGTACTCTATATGGCAGCAGATATGTCCAGGAAAATTACCCATATATTTGTGTGATCCACGAACTCCATTTTGAGTGTTCTATTCTGTACCGTGCAAAAAATTGAGATGTCGTTGAAATGTGTTTGTTCACCTCTAATGCGGCAAATTTGCACACGCAGAAATTAACAATGAGATTCGGCCAACAGAAACGGAGAGTTGTGCAACAATCATCCGATTAGAAATATCAACTACTTTAATGATTACAACTTCCTCTTTATCGTCTAATCCACAGGAAATCAAATGAAGTTTTCCCTCTATTTTGTATCTTCCTCTCTCCCTCTTTCTAACGCACGGCTGAAGTCATAGTCGAACAACTAGTTCACAGTCGGGACCATGGTGCAATTGTGTGATAGAGACTAACAAAGAGCAAAACAAAACGGGAATTAAGTTATCATCAACGGACCTGTTCATCCTCGTCTTCTTATCTGACTGAATCAGATAATGAAGGAAAATGATAGCCTACGAACAAATTGCCACTATCTCCACTATTCTGTCCAATCGTTCTCACCCTAGTTTCTTGATGAATGGAGATTTGATACACTATTTTCCCCTCATCTCTGCGGACCAAATGTAGGTTATGCGCAGTGCAGGGAGTGTTCGTGAACGCACTGACACATTCTTATGTCCGGGGATCATGTCCCGATTGACGGTTTTGACTTTCTCTCCTACCCCCCTCCTCCTCACTTTGTTGCTGTTGTTGTCGTTGTCGTCGCCGTCCCTCGGATTACTGGAACAGTGAAGAGGACAATGAAGCAGCAGAAACAACAAAAACAAAACAAAATAAAACAAAGCTAACTGATGCAGCCAAAAGTCGTTCGGTCAAAAACGACCGGAACGTAATCCTATCTCAAGTGAACTGCCGCCAAAGCTGACTATCGTTAGGAAATAATTGTTCTATTTTGTCCTTCATTCCAGAGGATTTTCTGGATTGGACCAAACACGCGGAGTCATACAACAGCCTAAGTATGTAGGAAAAAGGAGACAGACAAAGAGAGAGTGGACCCACTCAGAACACATAATAGAGCTCCATTGGAAACACGCTATTGTAAAACAGGCTGGACAGGCCAATGGATAACGTTGCAAGGCCGATGAATCTGCATCTCACCTGATGATCCCTGATGGGATCTAGTGTATTTTCACGACACTCGATAGATAAAATAGCTGTATTGCTTTCGTGGTTTTTACAGATGAATTTTCCGTCAACCTCACGTTATGCATCTTCCTATTGCGCTTTACAGTTCCGAGGTAAAATATCGTTCCCTTGGTATTTCTGATCCGAAGGTCCCTGCTTTGCACTCAGATCATTCCATCGAAACATTTCATTGTTACCTCCAACTCGGTAACCTCTGTAGTTGTTGTATCATTGCCGTTCAAACATAGCACTGAGTCGTCCCTCAAGGACCTTAATCGGCCGATTTCATACCCGAGACTGCATAAATTCCAACAAGAAATATCTACAGGCGTTCGCATTTTACAGTGCCTGTCGGTTGGAAGTCGGTTACGAAAAAAGACGTAGAAATGTAAAATAACCATGGTGGATATCCCAGTCCGAGTGTCAGTGACAGGAATGCATGTCCAAATTGCCTACCTGAATGGATAGACTGTCCTCGAGCAACTTTTGTCGATGGATCCACATACAAACCAGGTCATTCCAACCGGATTCCAGCGAGTCCAAGCGTTTGTCCAGTTCTACATAATGCTCGTCCGTTTCCCCTTCAGTGATACACCGACCGTAACTGATCAGCTGAGCAAATGGTTCCCGTCTAGATTCTAGCTCTATTTTGAGATTTGCATGGTCGTCTAGATGTTGTGTTGCATCTTCTACAGATTCGGCATCATTATGAGTAGCAACTGCGCTCTGCATCCTCCGAAGCCATAGTTGATTCTCGTCTAAATCCTATCGGATAAAACGAACGAGTAAGAGTTATGAGATTACTAGGAATTATTGATTGCACATATGAACCATACACACGTAGCAGGTGGAAGGGTGAATCAGTGTATGGATCAACCAATAAAATAATAGATCAGTCATTCAGTAAGTCGATCGATAAGCTGTTCATCGACCAATGTGCCATGCGAAACCACGCACGGCGTGGGCTTTTCAGTTTTGACGACAAAATTGCGACGAAGAAATTTTGCTGAAACACTGCCCAGATTTTACACGTGAGCAACATACTAGAACTAACTTCATCCCTAAACCAGATAAATTCATCAATGGAGGCATTGAAGCTGACGCTCCGCTTCCTTTATCTGTTTACACGGACCAGTGGTTTTTCGGTTATCTCTCTCTCTATATCGGTTGAAACACTGCCTACATGCATGTGCCAGCCAGAAAACCAAAACAATCACAATGATTTTCCCGTGCTCAGATTTGGTCACTTTTTATGCCATCTTTACCACAAGAAATGGACAACCAGAAAATGGAGGCCAGTTAAATGAAACTTGAACGGGTGCAACACAGCTGAGCAGTGTTCGGTTAATTCTCCCTTTACTCATTTTGAGAATTCGTAACGTGTCGAAACCACCAAATGGAAATACATCTACAACAGTCTACATAACAAGACGGGTTGGAATAGATGACCAATCAGTTGTGTTGCAGATTCCTTTCCATTTGAAACGCCGTGGCCGAAACCACGAGAAAAAAATGTCAGAAAACTGGATTTCCCACAAATTGTAACAATGAAATAAATTCACTGCACTTCTTCTTGCTCATCGGCCTGACTGGGACAGTTGCTTCAGGACTAGATATCCACTAAGGCTAAGTGAGTTCCAAAGATCAAGTCAAATAAACCTGGAGAATGGAATTGTATGGTCAATCAAAGTCTGATGATTGGCAGCGGATAGTTTCGATTTTGACTCTCTGAATTTCATTCCAGTTGATTGCTTATTAGCTTTTTGGAATCTAGTTCTTTGTAACCTTCCAATGGCTCGCAGATGTATCGTGTTTATTTGATGTTGTCATGGCCACAGAAGATGGTGTGCACCCACGGGTGGATAGTAAATGTGTCCTGATGCGCATTTGATGAGGCGAAGACGTAGAAGCTGACCAAAGAAACGAACACACAAAAGTGTTTTCAGTTGGATTATGTAATTATATCAATGCATTTGCGTTTCCGCTAGCTGAATTCCCGTCTGAACCAGATTCGTAAAACTGTTCGTTTTTCTAGATACCAAATTAAAATAACAGCCACTCTTATTGGTAATATTATTACTATCAACACTATTGTTGCTACTACTATTACTACTACTGCTAAAGTCACCACTACCAATGGCACTAACATTAGTATTGCTGAAGATCACGTTCGATTAGGTGAGAAAGTATCGTTACCTACTGTATTTACCAAACTGCCAATTTTTCAGTTCGCGTTACTTTCTGAAGAAATCACTTGGCTTTTGTTTTACGTAGACTGGCGTTATAGAATTATCTGCCGCTAAAATATTGTACCGATTGTTCGTGAATACCATGAATGAAATGAAAACAGTTCCTCTTTGTTCGAATCATTCTTATATATCTGGTAACCTTTCTGATTACAACTCCGTTCTAGTTTACTCGAACGTTTGATTGGTTAAACACAAACGTAACTATATACCTCTGTCAATTGCACCGTAAGCAATCAATTCCTTACAATCACCGACGAATTATTTCATAATCAGTTCAACTTTTCACTGTTTTACTTCGATAGCTACTGAAATCACCCATCCAGAAAGAGACAAACTGTAAATGACTACAAGTCACCGAAACATATATAATATCGACAATCAGAAACCCTCACACCAAAGTCGAAGCAATCCCACCACCCATGCACTGCCCTCCACTCTCCCGCATCCCACGTGGTGCCCTCGCACGTATCAATCATACAAATTGGTGTATTGAACCAAGGGAACATCAAAGAATGGCCAAGACACTTCATCGACCGTCCACCTCTAACTAGTTTCTTATCTCGAATGTACGACCCATCACATTGGACATTATCATTGCAGTGCAGGATGAAAGAAATAGCCATAATTTTCAGCCAAATCGCGGAATAATACTTGCCACAGAAACGGCAACCACTGGCATGACAGATGAACATATTTGACATGTGCTCGTCTGCAGGCATTGCGTCTCAGTAATTTCTCCCAACCTCGCCTCTTCTATTTTTTCTCCGTAACTGTTGACACTTAGACCGCACAATATCATCTACCAAGGGATCGATTCCAACCATCATTCACGACCAACAATGATTCAAAATCATTAGAATTTGTCGATGGCTCAAACAGCCGGGATGATGGGAAAGGTGGAAAATTCATTTGAATTATTTGTATTCGAATGTTCGCATCGTGGATCGGAATTAGATCTACGACTTTCCGCAACCGGGCTGTTGCTCTACCAGCTGTGATTTCACAGTACGGTCAATGGATGCAAATAATGCAAACGAATATCCGATGATATGCAAACAATTTTACAACGATATACAACAAATGTTCTAACTTCGTCCGTCATAGTGTTTGTGCATTATTGGATATCTACTTGAATCATTCGCGTTCGATAACTTTGGTCCGAAGAATAAACTAGTGAAGCAAATGTTCGTCAGACGAAAGATCGCTGCCAGACTTCACAATTTGAAATACGATGGATACTAAAAGTATAGGTATTCCGATTCCATATTCAATTCAACAAATCACAGATCTAAAATGTATTCAACAATCACGTGAAACCACTGAGGGTACAGACACCGTGGCACAGGTGTGCTCATCAAAGAGCCCACCTAAAACAAGCCCTTGAGAATGATGTCTGAAAAGGCTAATCGCATGCACGTATCACTTTGCCGCGTTGTGGGTTCGCCGTTTGAAACGATCAACGATTCTGAAGGATATCTATGATAGATTGTCTGTTCTCCGTTCCAATCTTTGAATGTATTCGCTCGTTTGACCAATTTCAGAAAGCCAAGTGGGTAGAGCAATGCAAGTAACAGTGAATGGGACTGCCGTGTACTAACCGATCTAGACTGGGGCGTGAATTCCAGGAGGAGAATCCGTTACGAAATCAAGAACTGCATCAGGAAATATGAAACCTAATTGATGTAGAAGTGGTTTGTGAATGCATAATTTCCTAAACTCCATAGTTTTGCACGGGACCACAGAAAAGGACGTCCACATTAGCCTAAAAGGTTCACTAAGCTATCAAGGGCTACCGGCAAACGTGATCCTGGGACTAGGGTGATGAACCATTCGGGTGACGGTCAACAAAGTGGGCTGGTGAGGTTCAAACTTGGCGCCTCCGCATTTATAGAAGCCTAAGCCACTGAAGCCCAACCCGTTGGTGGACCGGTTCCTCATTATAATTGCCGACAGCGAAGGTGGTATCGACGAGACTGTTACACCTGTTTTGAATCTCAAGACGTGCTTGGTGGCTAGCATGTTTACTGGACAGTACTCATTCAAGGGTCACGAAAATTAATCAAATATAACAATCATGCTTATATTTATGCTGAATGCCAGTTCACTTGAAAACAGCGAATATTCAGATGGAAGAAAAATCTTATGGTTTGCATGCCCTAGTTTACTTTATTGCGCCTGGTCCCTTTGACACAGTGGCTTTCGTTATTAATTCACAACTGTCCATATTTGCGTTTTGAGCAATCAACTACTTGCTTATTCAGTAAATAGTATGTGCACCCCACCACACACTTGTTGCTTTGGTCAAAAAAGCGATCTCTTAGCCCACTTCGGTTATTTTGGTTTCAATCCGGAACTGGCTTTTTGAGTCCGTGTGACTCTGGCAACGAAGCATCAGTCGAAACCTGGTGTGAATTATACTGCCCTACTTCGATTATGTACTTGTCATTTATTCCTTCACGAATAAATACGACGCTCCTCGTTTCTTAGCTGCATGATACGCACAGTTGTGATTGGATAGTGCATTTAATGTGGCCGGATCTGTGCAAATAGTCTGCTTTCCTGATTTCTATTCTATGATCGTCTCTCAGACAATGTATACCTAAGCTCTTCATTCCAATCCCAAAGTTTGACGAATTTTCAGGTTGAAATACTATGCTACGGTGGTCCTTTAAAAAACCCTTGCTACTGTCCCTACATTGTGAAAATCTTCTAACTTTTCTCCTTCAAGAAAACAGTCATATAAACCATGGAGTTTGGGTAGTTGCTTCATCCACCAAAAATGAAGCATATCTTAACACCCACTAGTCAGTTAGAAACTCGGAAAATTTTCTGTGTTGCCAGCGCTCATTAGCTATCTTTCCTCAGAATCTCTCGAATTATTATTCTTATCCGTGCTGATTTTGAACTTATGCTAATAATCGAATAATACTTTTTTGTCTGATCTTTATCAATAGTTTGAATGTATTGCATTATACGTAGGACTTATTCCTATTGTATATCCTCGGTTCTCTAAATAGCATGCATCCCCTTACATGCACTATCCTCTACTAGACTCAATACCACCTTGCACTATTTGGAATACTTTAACTACAAGGACATATCAAAATCACCTCAACCTAGAACAAAGTACACCGAAATAACATGAAATTCTTTGTTGTGGAACTCAGTTGCGAAAATACACAACATCAGATGCAATAAATGGTAGATTACCAGTTGACCAATCAGTGTCAGCTACTGTGGGACCTGTTCACAGTA